TCCGAGCAGTAAACAAATTGTTTCCTGTAAACAAATCCAACAGTAAGTTGTTGAGTGTTTTCACTCAGCCGGGTACTGGAGACATGGCCATGTGTGGGGTATGGTCTTTGCCTGGGAGGAGTGGCACCCCGAGAAGGGTGGCCCCGCCCTGTGGAGTTGGTGGAAGAGTCTGATGGTAGTGTCTTAGCAGTGCTGGGAGAATAATGCACAGGGACAGATTAAATCTCCTTGGGGGAGGGGAGCCAGTCAGTCCTCCAGGGAGGAAGTGATTTTCAAGTTGCCATGGGGGATGGCAAAGCCAAGAGCCTAATTATACCACTACGGAAATGCACCATGCAGGGGCCTGTCCTGGCGCCATCTTGGACATGCCCACTCTAAGATGGTGGCCCCTCCACCTTCACGGAGGTGGGGGGATCACATTTGTGGTACCACCCTAGCCTCTGGCCCCGCTCTCTTATCACAGAAAGGCATTTCGTTCTTGGAGATCAGGCGGCCAGGGCCCAAGGAGCTGTTTTTCCTCCATTGTGCAGGCATGACAAATCATTAATTTTTGATTGATTTGCTTAGAATTATGGGCGCCCCAGCATTCTTTCCGCCACTGAACAGCTGTATAACAAATGAATATATCACAGTGCACAAAAGATTGGAGATCTAAGAGAAGCAATTACATTGGCCACCCTCCCCCTCCCCCACCCCTTTCCAGCCAGGGAAGGAGGAAATTTTTACCAGAAATTCCTCAAGTGGCTTTACAAAAAAAAAAGAAAAAAAAAAAAACCAAAAAAAAAAAAAAAACCCAACCTTTTCATAATTGAATTTAATCTTTATCTCTTTGTCTTTTACAGCTGATTTCCAAACACACACCAGTTTTCCATATGCTTGGTTGGGTTATGTCCATTCAGGAAGAATCTTTAAGAATGAAATTTCAACTTTTGAATTAAAACCAAAATGGAAAAAAAAAAAAAAGGAAAACAGAGAGAGGAGAAGGCTCATATTCTACCCTTTTTTGCATTTTTTTTTTTTTTTTTTGGTTGCTGCTATGCCTTTAAGATTTTGGAACTGTACCCGTGCACTAAATGTGACCTCCATAACTTTTAAATTAAGAATTTATGCTGGCTTGAAATTTATGAAATATTTCAGCATGAAAGAAAGCCTTTTTCCCTCAGGAAAATTGAGCAATAAATCACAGCGCTGTGGATTTACTGCCCTAGAGCCAGCAAGAGATAGGATTTTTTTTTTTTTGCTTCATTCTGAAAAAAAAAAAAATGTAATCATATAAGACAGCTTAGCTGCTGTCCTCCCACTCTCTAGAATTTTTAATTTCAGCTGTTTCTGCTTGGATTTATTTCCAATATTCCTGCTCGGCTTTTCAATTTCCTCAGTTATTAAATTTTAATTCAGTGCATTAGCATTTAAATTAAAAAAGGGTTTATTTTATCGAAATCGTTGGCCAGCCCCCATCCCTGTAGCACACGAATTGCCTGTTTCTGCCATTTGCACAAAATGTGAAATGCAGCTAATGTCTTACAACTTACATTTGCACAAATTTAGAAATAAAAATTCTGGGTTTGGAATAATATTTTCTTTCCAAGAAAACCCTTAATAAGAGAATGGAAAAGAACAACTTAACGTGCATTTGGGAGGGAGGAAGGGAACCCAAAATAGCCTTGCCCAGGTGCTGGAGAGAATTTGGGGTTTAAAGCAATGGATGGAGCCGGGAAAGAGGGTGGGGTACCAGATTAGGGGCTGGAGGGCTACCATCTCTACTCCCAGCCAGCAAGAATGAGGAGGAGGGTTCCCCACTGACCCATCCATATCTCATTGGTCATAGAGTTGGGGTCCCTCAACATAGAGTGGCAGAGGTGGCAGGGGGAGGGATCTGAGTTCATTCTACTGTGCCCACCCCCACTTTGACCTGTGGAGAGCTTTAGGTCTAGAGGAAGTTTGCCTGAGGTTCAAAGTAAGACCCAGACAGAACCAGGGTGAGGAGGTACATCCTTTTGGAGCATATACGCTCTTAGTAGAGGATGGCACGTGACCACAGCGGTCACATTATCTGAGCTGTTACAACTTGGGCTATCCCTAGACTTGATGCTAAACAGTAATTAGGGTCACCTGGACCATTGGAAATAGCCTTGGGGTTATGGTGGTCTGGTAGAACCTACTGACATGCCATCTTGAGCAAGGGATTCTGGGAAGTCCAGCCTGGCTCTGCAGCTTGTTCAGACCATTCTGCTTTCCCAAGCCTTGATTTCCTAGACCCCGTGAATGTTGGCTTCTGTAACTACTTCTGGGGCTGCTAATGGTTATCACTGCCACGTTAAATATTTTAACATATGTGGCCTTATTTATCTCATACCAGTCAGAAGCTGTGCTTACCATGTGCTGTTGTGATAGTGACATGTTATCTTGGAGTCCCCCCACCATATCCATTGCCCAATCACCCTCCATCCTGTCCCAGAATTCCCACATGGGAATGGACATTTCCCAGTGTAGATAGTCCTGCCTTTAGCAGCTCTGGTACATGGCACCACCCTCACCCCTATCCCCCCCACCCCCGTTCTCTGCAAAAGGACCTATTTCAACAAGAGTTTGAATAATTGGGAACATTCTGTCTTTGTCACCCATTTTTATAAAACAAGTAGGAGTGACCTCCAGCTATATGAAGCCAAGAGTCAATGACAGAGAAGCAGTGAAGATTGCCAATGTGTCCCCAACAGAGCATCCGCCCCCTTTGCTGCAATTCACTGTGTGGGACCTAGCCAACCTGGAAGAAAATTGTGATGGAAAGGCCTGGAGAGGCTTATTCATTTATATGGCTCAGCATTTAAGGGCACTTGCTGCTCTTGTAGAGGACCAGAGTTTGGTTCCCAGCACCCATATAGTGCGGCTCACAACTATCTATAACTCCAGCTCCAGGGGACCCTACACCTTCTGACCTCTATGGGTACCTATATAGATGTGGTGCACGTAAACCCGTGTAGACACACAAACATAAACAGAAATAATAAATCTTTTAAAAATTGTGAGGGAAAAGACAACATTAAAAGTGTATATGAAATGTTACAAATCCACACCCTGAGTTCAGTCTGAAAGGTAACAGATTATTTGGGATTGTACAGTTTCTGAAAACTCTGAGGATCAAACATCTCCTGCTTTGTAGGGTCTGCCTGAACACAAAAGCAGCCTTGCATCAAGTTTGAGGAATGCAGGATATATGGAAGCAGCAGTTTGAGGAATGCAGGATATATGGAAGCGGCTGTAGTTGATCCCATTCCTTTGCTTCCATGAAATCACAGACCTTTCCCACCCGTTTCTTCTGATGTCACAGGTTGACATTCTTTCCAGACCATACATGCGCGTGGCACCTTTTCTGTCTCCATCTTTCCCATTGTCCGCGCGTGGTGGTTGGGAGCTCCATGGGGTCACTTCACTCTTCTCAAACATTGGCAGAGGACAAAGGATTCTAGGGCTGAGAGAGGTAGCTTTTTGGTCTGTACTCATAGATGTGAGATTTTGTATAAAGAAAGTCCTTGAGCCTCTGAGTGGGGACCCACAGTGAGTAGGCATCCATGCCCCACACTGACACTCACTGAGAAGTAGGCAAGGGGGGCCTGTCACAGGGACCAAGCAGGTGTTGGCTCCGAGACGAGGAAGGAATGAGGACTGTGAAGAAGCAGAAATGTCACCATTACTTGCCTGTTACCCTGTAGGACTGAATGTCACTCCTGAATAACCTGGTGTTTGGGTTTGACTTGTTTTTAAGAGAAACTGAAAACATGGCCTTTGGGGATGAAACTTTTTTTTTTTTAATGTCGATGGTCTGTTCGAGTCAAACCCAGCCTCATGGTTTCACCAGTTCTTAACTGTAAGCACACATCGAAAGACAGCTGTAGTTTTTACTTCAGATCCTCAGCCCTTCCTTCGCCCACAGCTCTAAAAGGTAGAAAGCTTGGAAACAAAAAGATCGTGACCTTTAGTCAGTAGAACTTAACCGGGGGTGGAGGGTGGTGGGGAGGTTTATCATGTAGTTGTCACCCAGGAATCCATGCAGGGTGACTGTGTGTATGTGTTATTTTTTTTCATGGAAATAGCAGGGTGCTAAGTTACCAGGGTGCCACAGGCCCTGCCAGGAATGTGGGGAAATGTGGGGGCATGCAGTGGGTCTCTCTCAGCTTGGTCAGATTCTGGATAGTGGGCATGTGCTCTTGAGCTGTGGACATGTTCTAGAATTACTGTGGCTGCAGGTAATTTCAGATAGCCAAGAAGGGCACTGCCCACAGCCAGTGATGGAGGAGGATCTTGGCACTGTTCACCTTCCTTTAGCCTCCTTTGGTCTCTGTGCCAGAGCCCTCCTGATCCCTGGATTAAGAGTCATGACCCCAGGCCATTGTCAGTCAGTCCTCATAAGACTGGAAGCAGCTCCCAGGGCCATGGTCTCTCCATCTGAACCAGGATTTTCTGATTTGTGGAAATTTCATTTGGTCAGTTTTATCTCCCCACCCCCCTCGCCCCCAAATAAAAAGATTAAGAGCTGGCCCTCTCTTGCATTCCTCTGCTCATAGGGTGGGGGGACAGAATATTTTAACATAATGGGATTTTTCCCCTCCGGTTGGTAGGAATAAATCTGCAGCTACTGTTTTATTGGAAATCCCAGCAGAAAATAAAAGCAGAGCAATTCAATCTCAGATTTAACTAGTTACTTACTTCTCACTGGGTCCCCAGGGTGTGCGGTTACTGGCTCTGTGTTGGCAGTAGGGGCCTGTGTTGGCCGTGGGTACTCTCCTGGATTTAAAGGGCCAAGCAGATGGGGGTGGGCAGGTGTCCAGACTTGCTCCTGCCAACTGAGGACTCAGTTCCTGGAGGGATGGAGCAGCAGTTTGTGGCCCGACTATCCACCTGAAGGCGAGTGTTCTGTGAGCGCACTGCACAGGGTAGTAGTGGTGGCTAGAATCTATGTCTTCTGCCTTGGCTGATGGAGGTGTTCTGGGTTTCTTTTGCAGGCTGACGGAGCCAGTGCAGCCAGAAGGAAAAGCACGGTTAGCAGGTACATCCCTCACCATACCACGCCCCTTCCTGTCCCTGGTCTTGGCCACTGGGAGGATGAGAAGCATCTGCACACCCTCAAGGATATGAGCTGGTGGGCAGTATTTCCCATGTGCCCTCTGCGGGCATCGGTGACAGTGACTCCCTGGAGAACTTAGTGAGTGGCTGCTGAAGTTGGGGTGAGCGCAAGCGGGGAGCTCAGCAGATAAGTGGCGACTTTAGGCTACCAGCCCAACTTAGCATGGCATGCCTGGGCCCACTCGGGGCTGGGTTTTCGTTCTGAACCCATCACTCCAAAGCAAGGCAGTGGGCCGTCCATGGGCTGGCCGAGGGGTCCATCCTCACCCTTGAAGTTGGCAGGAGATGGGAGGAGACGGCCAGAGGAGAGCTGGGTTGGTATTGCCAGACAAGGGAGGAAGACATAAAGACATGGTCATAAGACCTGGTGTTGCCCAGTTGGCATTTGGCAAGTTTAGCATGAGTGCTGCTGCTGTGCCTTGGGGAAAGCCTGAGTGACCATGTGACCTTGGCTTGAGGCCTGAGAAGAGAGATGGCTCCCTGGCACAGATAGTTAGGGGTCACCTGCGAGACTGGAAGGTCATATCTGAGGGCCTCATGGATCCCCAAACACCAGTTCTTTCAAGTTGATGAATTTTTTGTGGGAGGTCTAAAGAAGGCTCTTTCTGTGGCCAAATTTACTGGGAGAACTCTGGAATAAACAAAGGTTTGTTTTTTTTTTTTTTGTTTTTTTTTGTGTTTTTTTTTTGCTGTGGGACATTTTAGACTAAAATGTGGTTATTGACTTGTTCGAGTGGGGAAGGAAAAAGGGGGAGACGGGATGATAATAATCATGTTTCTTAAACCTAATGAACTATGGAACCCTTTTATGGAGATTCACCTCCCTCACTTAAGTGTTCCTTGGAACACCCTTTGGAAATCCTTGGGAAGTGTGTCCTTTGAGCTGAAGGGCAATGTGTTCAGCTTTGTTCCAGCAGCCTTTTGTACAGTGAATTGGGGGTGGGGGAGGGTCGTCATGACACCCGGAGGGAGGTCCCTTCAGCATGTGTGACTTCATAGGGTCAGGTCCATATTTTATGCAGTGCAAGAGACGGTTAAGTGGGGGTGATACAGGAGGAGTGTGTGTGGGCTGGAATGGAGGAGAGTTTTTTGTTTTTAATTTATGTTCCTATGATAAAATATTTTTTGACAGAAACAGCTTAGAGGAGAGTAGGTTTACTTTAGCTTACAAACCGGGATGCAGTTGATTGTGGGGCAGCCAGTGGAGCAGTATCCTGACACAGCTAGTCCATCATGGCTAGTCAAGAGCGGGTGTGTGTGTGTGTGTGTGTGTGTGTGTGTGTGTGTGTGTGTAAGTGTGCGTGTCTGCTCACTCACTTGCTTATTGGTGCTCAGCTTGATTTCTCACTTTTATACACTTTGGGACCTCTTGCTTAGGGAATGGTGCCACCCACAGTGGGATGGTTATTATCACACAGTTAACTTAAGACAGTTCCCCCACAGATACATTTATCTCCATAGGCTAATCCAAGGCAGACAATTCCTCATTGGCGACTCTCTTCTCAGGTGATCCTGGGTGGTGTCAAGTGGACAATTGAAGCGCTCAGATTGGTGGGTCAGGCCAGGCCTGTGAACATGGTTGGTGATATTGGTGGTAAAGCTTATAGCGCTCTGGGTACAGCTTTTCCTGGAGCCTGATGGTGGACTTTGTGTGTGGGTCTGTGGCCTCCAAAGGCGTGGCTCCCATAAGTTCAGGACTGGAAGGGGCCTGGGATTGTTATAGTCTACACTCTTAACGTACATGTGGGGACACTGAGGCTATGGCAAGGAACTCTCCTGCTCAGGGTCATCAGAAAAGTGAGTGACTGTGCCAGACCTGGAACTTGTCAGAGATGGTGCCTTCCCCCCTCCTGCACTCAAGAGGGGGCATAGCCAGCTGCTCCACCTTTTCCTCATCGGCCTTGCACCTGCTGGAGTACGCCTTAGGCTGTGTACTGGGTGCTTAGATGGGTCAAGTCGTAACCGACCCAGCTAGCTTGTGTGGCTTCTGTGTGCCAGGCACTGTTGGAAGTGTTGCGTCCATAGCCATGCAGAGAAATGAAGCTCCATCCACACTGTGACTCCAGTAGGGATGAGGTGCTTGTGTTTATCATCTAATACATTAGCCTGTCCTACTCCAGAGCATGCATCTGGGTCATTGTAGCCAGAGCACATAGATGGGTTTCCCCATAACGCTAGTAGTTGTGGCTGTGCATTGACTACAATCTCGTGACCATGGTCAATGGAAGAGTCTAGAGACTGATTATTGACTCCTACCCAGGGAAGGACAGAAGGAGGGTTATGTGTGATGTCTTTTCCTGACCAGCCAGGGCTCTCCACCACTTAGATTTTGAACCCCCCCGTGAGGGACGTATTTGTATTATTCTGAGTGTCCGCTGAGGAAGCGGAGGTAGAGGGATTGATGTGCCTAAGGATGCTCAGTTGGAAAGATGCAGGGGGGCCAGGCTGCCTGCCAGTCTGACTTCTCTGATGTCTTTGCCCACTCTGCTCGCCTGCTTCTTCAGGTAAAGGGGCTCAGTTAGGAGTTCAGTAGTTAGCTAGGGGTCCGGGAGGAGGGGGTCGCTGTCTAGTGGGTAGCTGGGCCTGGTGGCGTAGACTTGTCACCCTGGCTACTTGGAAGGTTGAGAGACAGTTTATGAGTTCAGAGTCTACCTGGGTTGCAGAGTGAGTTCAAGATTAGCCTGAATAACTTAGGGAGACCCTATTTCAAAATAAAAAAAGGAAGGCAATAGAAAAGGAAGGGTGAGGGTTCCTGGGTAAGTTTGTGTGATTCTGTGACTGGAACTCACAATAGCCTCTAGAGCAGTGGTTCTCAACCTTCCTACTGCTGCGACCTTTAAATATAGTTCCTCACATTGTGGTGACCCCCAACCATAAAATTACTTTTTTTTTTTTTTTGGTTTTTCGAGACAGGGTTTCTCTGTGTAGCTTTGCGCCTTTCCTGGAACTCACTTGGTAGTCCAGGCTGGCCTCGAACTCACAGAGATCCGCCTGGCTCTGCCTCCCGAGTGCTGGGATTAAAGGCGTGCGCCACCACCGCCCGGCTGTCATAAAATTACTTTTATTGTTACTTCATAACTGTAATTTTGCTACTGTTATGAATTATAATGTAAATACCCGTGTTTTCTGATGTCTTAGGTGACCCCTGTGAAAGGATCATTTGACTCCGAAGGGGTCACGACCCACAGGTTGAGAACGTCTGCTCTACGTGCCCACACAGTGTGGCTGGTGAGTGGCTCAGTGGCCCCCAGGAGTGACTGACATGTTAAAGCGTCAGGGGAACTTATGCCTCTAGAGAATGTGATCCTGGCCAGGCCGGGTATGGTGAACACTGGCACATTAGAGCTTTCTCAGTCAGTTTCAAATGGAAAAATAAAGGTTTCAAGCCCCCCTCCCCACTCCCCACACACCAAAGTCAAGACTGAGACTAGAAAGCCATGGGCAGAAATGACCTTGAAGGATGGACAGCGCCCTCTGTAGGCCCGTGTTCCCTGCCTGTTAGGGCGTCCTCTTACTGCACCAAGCGCCCTTTTATCCCTGTGCCCTCTTTTTGGCCTGGAACACACAATTTTGTTATTTTTTTCCCCGAGGGCCTCTGGCTAACCCCCAAAACCAACAGCATGGCCTGCTAAGGAATTAGACTTAAATTGAGGGGGACAAGGAGAGGCGGGGTTCTTGGTATTAAGGAGCAGACAAATGTAGTTTGCAGAACGTCCCTGTAACCCAGGCCAGGCTGATTTTACAAGCCCAGTGATCCAGGGCTTGGGTGAATGCTGATCGAATGTGAGGTTGCTACCCACGTACCAGCGCAGCAGCCAAATGTGGCTTGTTCCAAGGGGCCGAGGACGGTACCTGGACCGTTCTAGAGGAAATGCGGGCTTTATGATTAAGCAGATACCGATGGCTCTAGGCATGCTGTCTTGGAGAACTGTGCCCATCTGGCCTGTGGAAAGATCCTAATGATCTAGTCAAACCCTCCCGACAGCCAGAGATAGAGAGGGTCAGCCACTCGTGCCTCCTTGCATATGGCAGGAGTGCACAGGATCCTGAAGGTGGGGAAGCCAGGTCTCATTCATTCACTCATTCATTCCACAAGATACTACTGAATGCCTACATTCTGATGATGCTGCACTGGGCACAGCGGACTGCAGGCCCTGCCCTCGAGGAGTTGGGGTTCTGGTGGGGCAAATATGTAAAGCACCTGCCTGTGGGATCTAATGAGTGCCTTGGCAGAAAGAGCGGGGAGGGTGGCAGGGAGGCTGTGAGAGGTTGTTGTCTCTTCAGCTTGGGTGCTTGGTCACTAAAGGCACCACTGGGGAGGGGACTCTTAAACAAGGACATGAAAGAGGCCAAACCTGGCGGTTCTCTGAGGGAAGTGCGTTCCAGTCGGGAGAACTGCAGGCCCTGGGGCTGGGGCATGTCCTTTGCACTGGAGCAGCATCAAAGAGGGCACTGTGACTTTGGTGCTTACTGTGCTCGACATCCGGAGGCACTAGGGATTTTGAACAGAGATGACACTGTATTTGGTTTGAAAAGGGTCTCATCGTGTCTTTAAGAGGACAGGAGTGTGGTGGGGGGGCAAGATGTTAGAGGAGATACTGCTGAGGGTTCAGACCCACAGGGCTGTAGAAGGTAGGCATAGAGGTAAGCACGAGATGGGCTGTTGTGTTTTGAGCTCCAAGGACACTGACTGGGAGAAGCCTATATCTGAAAGTGCACAGCCTCCTGCTTGGTCCTGGGACAACCCCAGACTGAGCAGTCATATCCACATGACACCCCTCTTCCCAGCCTTGGCACTCCCTGCTTGGTTGGTTGGTTGGTTGGTTGGTTGTATATCTCTGCCTTCCCTCTAGCCATGCTGAGGGCCAGGCAGCTCCCACACAGTCTGCCTGGGTTCGGATCCTGGTGTTGCCACTTTCCTGG